ATAGAATTTGCATAATAATTTGGAACAGGGTTTATATTGTGTTTGTGTGCACTAAAATGCATTAAAAAAAAAATTTTCCTGAAAATTGGCATCTGATAACTGGCTGCACAAATAACATGCAGCATAACAAATTGCAACAATTACCATTTTATTTTCCAGGGCCCCTGGTTTCAGGAAATATATCATGTTTGGGGGTTGTAAGTAATTTTCTAACATTCTGATTTTATCATGTATGTGAAAAATGTCAGATTGGCCCATACTGGAAGTGGTTAATTGGTTATAATTAGCCCTTGTACAAATACTAAAGGAAAGCATTCCAGAATCCTGAATAGTGAAAATGTTGTCTGTAGAGCTGCCTATTAGAAGCCAAGCAGAAAATTTGTAGCTTAACTTGAAAGTTATTTTACTTACTAATGAGATGGGGAAAAAAAAACACTGGTCCTCCCCTTCATTGTAAATAAGTGTAACACTGGCCTAAAATGAGGTATTAGATATGAGATTTTTCCAGTTTTAAAGAAAATGTAAAAATTCCCACATTTGACCCCCACCACTTCTGAAAATCACAAGTGTTTTAATTGCAGTTATGTGCAAAGGCTAATCCATTAAAAAAGTGATATTTTACTTTGTGCTGGAGCTTTGTTCACAACAACTTGCACTTGTGTTTCATATGTACATTATTACGCCTCATGTACACTGGGCGCTTTTAGAGCTACTGTTGTGGGCACGGGCGGACTGACCATTTAGAAACTCGGGCACTGCCCAAGGGCCCGGAGTCAGTAGGGGACCCCATGAAATGCCCCTGGTACCTTTTTCATAGGCTTTTTTGAGTTTGGGCAAGGACACAGGGGCCCCTTGATCCCCTATTGCCCGGGGGCCCATGAGTTGTCAGTCCACCCCTGGTTTTGGGTGTCAGACATTTTTTTTTTATATCTGCCTCTAAACTCCCCTGCATGTTATCCTATGTTGATTATGCACACATAGCCTTTTAGTAGTGTTTTCTGGCACAAGGGTTTAGTGGAGCAGCAGTGTTTTGTCAGAAAAAATGCTCCTAAACTCTGCTAAATGCTGGTGCCCAACATTTAGCAGTTTTTTTTCTTTTCACTGGTTGTTAAGGAGAGGGCTGAGAAGCCATCTGACATGTCCTTAACAACGGATGAGTCATCAGCTGTCAATAACAAATTGTGAAAAAAAACTGCATTGGCATCCTTCCTTCAATCCATACCAGGCCCTTTGGGTCTGGTATGGCTTTTAAGGGGACCCCATGCCAAAAAAAAGTGTTAAAATGTAAAGAAAAACACAATATAATTTTTTGACAAGTCCTTTATTTTATATGTCAGACAGTGGAGCTGCCAGACGGCAGAAGCCTTGGTCAGGACCGGAGGGTTTTTCTTTTCTTTTTTTGGGCCAACGGTGGCAGCAGGCATTGTGCTTGACAACCGATCTACACCGGGTGACATTTTTTTAAATTTCTGATTTTTTAATAACAAGCTTGTTAAAAACTTGTGTTTTTTTTATTTACTTTTTATACCCTGCCCCAAAGCACACTCCCCCCATGATGAGGGCCTGTGGGGGGGGGGGACCATTTTTTTTTTTAAATTTTGAAATGGGGTTCCCCTAAAAACTCATACCATATCCAAAGAGTCTGGTACGGATTGGGGGGGACCCCCACACCGTTCGTCATAATTTTTTTATTGCCGGCAATGTTTTTTTCTTTACATTCAGCTGTAAGCGGGGAACCCTGGGCTTCCCAGCCTGCTCCAATTAACACTGAAGCCACTAAAATATAGTTAACACACTAGGCCAAACGCTAGCAAAAAACGCTACAACATTGCATTTTTGTCCAAAGTTTCTAAAGCAGTTTTTAGCATCTCTAGTGTGCATGAAGCCGTACAATGCATCACACTGTTTATTTTTTTTTTACTTAACCCCTTTACGACTGCATAACACATGTGGATGGTGTTGCAGTGATCAGGTGTAGGAGAATTTATTTTGCAGGTATTTTGGTGGTGGTACACGGCAATGGCATAAAAATATACAGCTGAATAAAAAAAAATTTTTAAAAAGGGATAGCCATCAACATTTCCCACCAAATGACCCTGGTCATGAAGCAGTAAGCAGTTAAAAGTTGCAAAACCACTATGGTTCAGGAAGTTGGGGGGGCACTCACTCGCCCCCCCCCCCCCCCTTTTCCTGACCTGCCTGGATGCATGCACAGATAAGGGTCGGGTAGGGATTGGGGGGGACCCCCACACCGTTCGTCATATTTTTTTTTTATTGCCAGCAAATGACCCTGGTCATGAAGCAGTTAAAAGTGGCAAAACCACTTTATCCAAATGTATGCACTGCGCTGACAGTGCGTTGACATGCAGCGATGTACTTTGCGCTGCACAGATATGCTGCATTTTTACATAATGCAAACCACCACACATGTATGGTGTGAGCAGGGCACAAGATTGTTTTCCCATGTGCCTTTGCGTTTTGCGCCCCATTTATGCAGATCAACACAGCTCAATGCACCCAACGTGAACAACTCATCACTTGACTTTTATACTGTATCTTCTGGATATTCCAGCAACTACAGTTGTGCTAAACAATTTGCATACCCATGTAGATATAATTACATTTTGGCATTGATATTGAAAATATGACTGATCATGCCAAAAAACTTATTTAAGGATAGTGATCATATGAAGCCCTTTATTATCACATAGTTGTTTGGCTCCTTTTTAAAGCATAATAACAGAAATTACCTAAATGGCTTTGATCAAAAGTTTACATATCCTGGAATGTTTGGCCTTGGTACAGACATACAAGGAGACGCATACAGGATAAAATGGCAATAAAAGGATAATGTCCTACATCTGTGGCTTTTTAAATTGCAATTAGTGTCTGTGTATAGTCAATAAGTTTGTTAGCACTTACGTGGATGCGCTGAGCAGGCTAGACAATGAGGAAGCAGAAAAGAACCATCAAAAGACCGGTGTAACAAGGTAATGGAACTTTATAAAGATGGAAACGGATATAAAAAGATATCCAAAGTTTCAAACATGCCAGTCAATACTGTCCAATCATTTATTAAGAAATGGGACATTTGGTGATCTCTTTATACTAAGATAAGGTCAGGTAGACCAAGAAAAATTGCAGCCAGAAGAGCTGTTCAGGATAAAAAGAAAAATGCACCGGAAAACTCAGATTAAATACAGGCTGCTCGGGACAGAGTGGTTGTTTCAAGGAGCATAATATGATATTTGAACAAAAATTAATTGCATGCTAGAGTTGCCAGAAAGAAACCTTTACTGTGCCAGTGCCACAAAAAAAGCGCGTTTACAATGTGCCTGACAACACCTTGACACGCCTTACAGGTTCTGGCACAGTGTAGTCTTGAGTGACGAGACCAAAATAGAGTTGTATGGTCACAACCATAAGATCTACCTTAGGAGCAACAAGAGTACCATCTCCGCTGTGAAGCATGGTGGTGGCTCACTGATGTTTTGGGATGCATGAGCTCTAAAGGCATGAGTAATCTTGTGAAAATTGATGGCAAGATGAATGCAGCATGTTATCAGAAAAACTGAAGTACAATTTGCATTCTTCTGCACAAAAGCTGTGCATGGGACGCTCTTGGACTTTGCAACACGACAATGACCCTAACAAAAAGGCCAAGTTGATCCTCCAGTTTGTTACACGGAGTCATATCATTGGATCTTTTACGGAGATATTTTGGACTCTACAATATTTTTTTAGTTCACATTTTTGTGGCACTATTTGTCACTTTTGTTTATACGTTTATAATATGTCATGTTTGCACTCATTCATTTTGTCTTGATACACTCACCTTCATACCCATCACTGTGGGGTTTTCGTCCTATGTGTTATTTTATGGTTTTAGTGCATTTACAATCACAGTTTTGCTGTTACGTTTTCACTTTTTTTTTATGTGATTCTTTATTTTTTTATGTGATTCCATATTTATTCATTCACTTGTGCATTTTCTCACATTTTTTGGATTTGTTTACACTACATAAATAGGAGTAGTGCAGCAACTCTGCTTACTCGTTTCTTTTTACCATTTTTCAGTTGGGTGCTTTTATTTGCATGGTACCTAGTTATTTAGATATGTTAATACTCTATTTATGCTCACGGATCTGTTGACATTTTTCTTTTATTGTTTTAATTTCCATTCTTTTGTTTTGTTTGTTTGTTGATTAGTGGTATGTAGTTGGTTTCACCTTATATAGGATTAGCATAGCACCAATTTTGTCTTGATACTCTGATGGTTACAGAAAAAAAAAGTGAAGGTTCTGGAGTGGCCACAGTCTTCTGACCTTAATATCATCGAGCCATTCAGCGGAGATCTCAAACGTGCGGTTCATACAAGACAACCAAAGATTTTGCATGACCTGGATGCATTTTGCCAAGAAGAATGGGCAGTTACCACCTGCAAGAATTTGGGGCCTCATAGACATCTATTAGAAAAGACTGCACGTTGCCATTGATGCTAAAGGGGGAATACACAGTATTGACCTCCCTAGCGGTCTGATTATGTCCATATTTCTATGCTGAAAGCAGTACTTTTTTTGCATGGAAATATGTCGTTTTTTTATTGTAGGCTGTCATTTTTCGGAATAACTCACTGAAATCTGTCCGAACAAGAGTCTAGTAAACATTCTGGGTAGGATATAAAATTTGAAACACAAAATCATAAATTATAATTTAATAAATAATCATAAAAAAATAAATATAAATAATAATACATTTAATTCAATAATATAATCAAACCAAAAACACTGAAATTTGAAATATAGCGCCAAGTTCGCACATCACTGAGCAAAGTCGCAAAATCCTTTTCAGTGTCTGATGACGACTTTCCCCACAAATCATTATCACTCAATTCTGCAAGTGGTTCTGATTTACTATCGCTGTTTTCTAGCTGGTCTAAAACCGCTTTTGACCTAAAGGGATGCTTTTTGGATGCCATGGACTTTTCTAAGTTTCCAGGTAGAAAGAACAGTCAAAATGCAGACAGGGCACAGGACAAAGCACTAGAGACAAACTGTATGTGAAATGGTTTAAAATAGCAATGTTTTACGATGTTATTTTAGTTTATTAGAAAATGAAATTTTTTAAAATTTTCAAATTTGCCGCCGGTTCCGGCCCCCGTACGTCCCGACGCTCGCAGGGACCGGAACACGGAAGCAGGCATCAGCCGGAGGAGATGGCCGGGGACGCTGCAGGGGACACATCGCGGGAGAGCGAAGGACAAGGTAAGTGCTGCAGGGAATCCCTGAGCAACGCCACATGGTAAGCCCGAGTGTAGATCGGGGTTACTGCTTTTGGTACTGAAACTTTACCCCGAGCTACACTCAGGAATACCGCCAGGGAGGTTAAGAACTAAGGGTATGCAGACTTTTGAACAGAGGTCATATGATTTGTTTACTTGTTGCCATGTCTTATTTTATGATTGTGCCATTCGGTTATGACCTACAGTTGAATATTAATCCCTTAAGAAATAAAAGAAATGTGTTTTGCCTGCTCATTCATATTTTCTTTAAAAATAGTACATACGTTACCAATCCTCTAAGGATATGCAAACTTTCGAGCACAACTGTACATCTCCCAGCCAATAACAGCAACCTTAACAGCCCACCCCAATGTGTTTCTCCACACCTTACTCAAGAAATGCAAGAAAGTGTCAGGTGGTGACTCTAGTATCTACTAAACAATTGTGGGTGGAATAATATTTTTTAGCAATGTTTTCAAATAGTTAAAAGCCACAACTGCTCCAAGTTGCTTTGACAAATTGGTATCTGAAGCTGGAACTCTTCTTTGCAGCACAGTCTGCACTGGAAAGAAATTCATTTTTAAAGCTTTCCCTCAAAGTCTAACATTTCATTAACCAGACACATTTAATATATATTATTATAAAAACCTCTGTACCCGTATCAACGCATAATAAAACACGCACTTACCTAAGCAAGGTGAATCTTGGTTGGTTGCTATGAGTTACTGCAATTTACAAAAAGCCAAAATATGATTCCTGTGCATTTAATATAGATAGCCTCAAAAAACAAATGTTGCACAGCTGTGAAAACAAGTTGCTCACACCTATATGTAATCCACGGAAATCAAGGTAAAAGAAGGGAAACAATAAACCTCAGTTCTCTCAAATACTTAATAGTAAACTATCACCAATAAAGTTTGAAGTATTAAATCAGGAGTGTAAATGTCTCTCAACAAGAGCTTTGTGTATACTACCATAATCACTCTTAATGGGTTCTCAGCAGTTACCACTTTATAACATCATATATCAATGTTCTTGTAAAAATAAGGATATTAGGGTAAAACAGAACGTAAGATCCTGGACAGAGAGAAAGCACCTCTACAGATTTCTCTGCATGGGATGTTTTTATAGGAGAAAGGTAGAGTGGAACTATAACTGGAAGGAAGAAATGCACATGCTCTACAGCCGTTCCAAATCCAACAGTAACATTTCTTGAAAAAAAATGGAAGCAACAACTTGGAAGGACAGTTAATAACAGGGATCTGAATTGTTAGAACACCATCGAGATGGGTCAGGGAATAGTATGTTTACATCCCCTGGGCCTTATAAGAGCAATATAACTCATACATCGTATGCCACTTCGCTGAACAGTCTATGGCATTTGGACCTTTCATGCTTTCCATGGAAGAATGATAATATGGTAGTTGACAAGGTAAATTAACCTGGACAGCTAAAATTGGGTTGCTGGTGTAAATCCAAGAGACCAGCCAAGCAATTGTAAGCTAATGCTAATTTGCCAAGTCAATATTCACATAACATTTTTTTAAGCTTTTTCTTTTTCAATACTTTCATTGTTTTAACAAAAGATATGACACTTGGAAAACAGAGAGCAGTGACATAAAAAAGAGCAGCACAACCAGAAAAGTAGTATAAACTCAAGACAACGGCTCAAGCCAGAAAACATAAGGGGATTATCAGTACGATAATGAGTAGATTTGAGAATGATTAGTAACATATAGCAAGTAATATAAAACACAGAATAGGGCAAGTGAGCGCTAAAAGTCTAAAAAGCTGCTGAAACACCAAAGGATACCAAATAACCTCCAAAACATCAATGTAAAATAAGGTGCAGTGCTAGAACTCCAACCACATATGTGAAAACTCCATATCAACGAACATATAAATATATATAAATAAATAAAGTGACTTGTGACAAGGTGCCAAATAAATCATTGAAATTAAAGTGACTGAGTGCGCAGTCTTTATACCATTGGTCACATCACACACAATACCGGATGGAACACCTATAACTGAAGATTATCAGATCTTACATACACTTATAGTTGGACAATATTTCAGCACTTTAAGGCACCATTGGTCACTATACAGTGACGGACTTCACGTTACCACTGAGTCACTTTAATTTGAATGATTTATTTGGCACCTTGTCACAAGTCACTTTATTTATATATTTATATGTCCGTTGATATATTTAACATATGGAGTTTTCACATATGTGGTTGGAGTTCTAGCGCTGCACCTTATTTTACATTGATATAGCAAGTAATGGTTGTTTTAACCACAGGTGTAATCATTTCGTAGGAGCCAGGTGAAAAAAAAATAGAAGTGGGGAAAGAGCAGAATGGAAGAAGGTAAGGGGGTTTCCCAGAGGACTGACTAGGGTCTGACTCTTGAGAAGTTGGGGGGGTGGAACTAAATCAGAAGATACATAACACAGGCTCTACCACAGAGGTTTAGATACCTCCATCCCAAAAAAATACTTACAAAGAAAAAAATCATTGCCCCTGGCAACTGGGGAAGGGGGTGATGGAATTAAATAAGGTCAAGGGAGGGATGTTAAGGAAGGAACAAATAGTTGGTTGAGAAAATGGTGGGAGGGGGGGCGCAAGAAAAGGTTCTGTTTGGCCCTGTCTTGGAGGACAGCTTCGATTTTAGCATGGAGCATGGGCCATAGCCCATGTGGTTCGGTGCTTATTCTCCACTATGTTAAGAGAATTAGAATTGCAAATCTTTGCTATGGTTTGCAGCCGTCCTTACTTGTAGAAACAATTTGAATTTAGCTTGAGACAAACATCGAGGAGCAAAGATAAGGGGGAGCTATGATGGAAAATAGTGCAGAGAAAAAGTGGAATACCTCTGTCCAAAATCAACTTACAATGAGGCAGGACCACCAGATGTGTGCCACAGCCAACATTTTTTTTTTTAAACTTAATATTTGACCAATTCCACAGACTATACAGTATTTAAACCTTGTAATAGTCCTAGTAAATCATTAATGCAGATAACCTTATAGATGGTGGTAAAGCACAAATGCTTCCAAATATTGGCACAGTAGAAACATTTGTAATTGTATTGTATTTGAATTGTTACTGCAAACAAATTCCCTAGAGAATTTACAGAAAATATTAAAGCAGGTATGACATCCAGTAGAACTTATGGCAAAAAAATGTTTAAACCCCATCATCAGTCAAGATCAAGAACAACAAAGATTAAAGTGTTACTAAACCCATAACAATAAAATCAGTCTGTATATGCAGTAAAGCATGCTTGCTATACTTACTGTGGAACCTAAGGGGTTAATCCTCCGCATTGTGTCAAAAAAGCAGTTTGATCCTGTCTTCCCTGATCCTGTCCTCCTTTAACTGTCCCTAATCCATCTGCCATAGCAGAGAGCAGCAGTGGCAAGTCTGCACATGCTGAAGGGTGCATGTGATCGGCACAGGGTCAATCAGCACTGTCCAGACAGAAGGTCAGGGGTTATGCAGCCTCATAGGATAGTAACAGCAAAATGAAAACTCCTCCTGCAAGGTTAACCAGTGCTTGGCCAGACACTGATAGAAGTTACAAGACTGCTATATGCTGCTGATGAACAAAGGTATTTAGCAGCGTATATTTACTAAAATAATTGCATGTTCATGTTCTGTGTACTGTGGAAGAACAGATATAGTGAATACAGGGTCCTGGGTTTAGTAACACTAAGTGCAGAGATTCAGAAATGCACTGTGGCCAAGGATAATAATAAATGGAGGAAGCTCAAAAAGGAAGGCAAAGTATGTCTCTTTAAACCACTGTTGTCATGATGAGGGGGATGTTAAAAAAATGTGGACGGAATTAAAAAAAAGAAAACATTCACTAAACAAAAAAGTAATAGAAAAGTGGCATTTACAGACTCAAATATTTTTTTACAAAACAGTCAAAAACTAGTAAAAATAATCAGGATGGCAAAAATTAAAAAAAATAGGATTGCTAAAATGAGTAAGACAATCAAAGCCTGGGCATCCTAAAAAATATAATTTCAATGTCAGCAACTGAGGAGAAGGGACAGTGGTGGTTTTGATGAACAATATAAGAATGGGAACACAATTTGAAATGCTGCAGAGTGGCTTAAAGTGTCATTAAACCACATCAAAAAAACAAACAATGAATGCCGTTTTCCATGCTGTTCATATTCACTCAGACTCTATAGGATTCGTTTTCTGTATTCTGCAAAAAACCTGGTTGATTCTGCTGTTCTCTATCTCCCCATTCTGTCCATGTCCCCAATGCAGTAGCGTAATGCAATAGCAGCTACTGCACCTGCTCAGTTTTCAGTGAGTTTCTATGCTGAGCTTTTCTTCCCCATCACATCTGAGTAGCCCATGTGACTATAAAGTCACACATATTCATAGTGGTAAATTACATCTTGATTGCTGGAGACCTCACCGTCCTGTTACTCTAAGACACAACCTAGAGGAGCATGACACAGCCTGTGACTGGCAGAAATCTGCCCACACCATGCTATAGCCAAAACATAATAAAGATTTGATTTCAAATATATATTTATATGACAATTTAAAGCAGATTACTGATAAGTATCTATTTTTACTCTATATCCCAAAGGCTATTTTTTTTATTATTTTGAATATGTGACCAGCAGCAAAGGACTAGAAACTTCTCCTGCCACTGTTTCCCTGCAGACAGGCTGGGAAAGAGCTTGGTCACATGATAGCTGTATATCGAAAAATGGTTCTAAGATTTTTTTAAATGAAAATGACTACATTGCCATCATCCACATACAGAAAGAGAAGGGAAAATATAAATTAAAGTGTGTGTTTAGTATCACTTTAACATTGAGATGGGCCAAAAACAATTAGGCTGACCAAACACCAGAAAAAGTTTGTTAGTTTTTTGTATGAAGAATGCATGTTTGATTTTCTCATTATTATTGGGATTCGTTTTCATCCACAGTGACAAGAAAATTCAAAAGATCATGATGGAAAACAAATTTCTAACAGTGAATGTAGTTTTCATTCAGGAAAGTCCATTCATTCCAAAACCAAATGT